AAACTTCCTCCTGTGTATGCTACTCTCATCCACTGCACCCAGGAAGAGAAGGACCATGTTACAGAGGGAACTGGGACAATTAGTGTTGCTTTATTGCAGCAAATTATGCAGAATTTCAGACAGCGATTATGGCAACCTATCAATTGTCATGGTCTTCTGGAACATGTAATGCATGGATACTAAACTGCAGTCATTATGTTAGTTACTCCTTAAAATGCTTGACCTCATTTATTGTCTGGTCTGTCACAGTAGCCTACAGAAGACTGTCACATCCTTGTGCCCACCCCATATATTTTAATATTTATGTTTTTAGGTAGACAGAACATTCTGGACTAAACGATAGCAAGCATTCCCTGAATTCAGTCTCATAATTTCTTCATGAATTTATAAAAGTAAAACTTACAGCCACCAACTTCTTTATTAGAACCTGTAAACTTTTATTTTCAGGAATTACTTAAACTATTCACGATATCACCAGATGAGAAATCGCCAAAGAAAAGAATTTGGGATTCATTTCCTAGTGATGTTCAAGAAATAATGGCTCCTCTTCTTTCATCATATTACAAGAAATCTGTAGGACCGACTGTACAGATGCCTCATCCCATAATTGGGTTTGTATACTGTTCACATACATTATTCTAATGGTTATTCTATTATATTTAAGCATCCTGTTGCACTATGCACTTCTATATGGAATAATACAACTGCCATTGTGAATGCAACACTCATTGCAGTGTGACAGCTACGTAGTGAAAAATACACCCGATGATGGCCAGTTACGGCCAAAACATGTAGACAAAGAACTACAACCAAATAAATTGTTGCATTCACAATGGCATTTATATTATTACATATAGAATTCTAACGGTTCTTTACAATTTAACATTCCAGTCCAACTGGCTTGACACAGATATTAATGTTTTGCATTGAGGTTGCAGTTTAAAATGAGATTTATCTTTCAGGTCAAAATATGGCATGACATTGAATGATTGGGCCTGTAATTGGACATTCACAGTGTTGGAAAGCGTTAATACTCCCTTTATTCAGGCAGTATTTGAAGCCTGTACAATAAGTCTGAAACGAGATTTACAGACACTGCTATTCTTCATGCCGTACATTCTGTGTAAGTCCTATTGTGTTTTATGAATTGTCTACACAACACTCATAGATGGTATATTAATTACAGCTAACTATTTTCTTTTATTTTCTTAAAATAACAACCCCCTCCACCCATGTTTTGATCAGATATTGATCTTCATTAGGTGAACATTTACAAATAAAATAAGTACAGATTAATGAATTTTATTTTGTTGGAAGCTGGATTCAGTTTCAGTGAGTTACTTATGATTTCATGTTTATAGTATTTATGATAAAATTATATATAAAATTTTCTTATATATTGAAATGTTTTAGGACATTGCTTAAACATGTACTTGTATTATAGATTTTAGCTGAATGGGATTCTTATTGAGACTGGTCTTTGGCAAAGTTTCATTTAAAGACAAAGGAGGCAAGAGGCAAAATCATGTGTAAGTTAAGTTTCACTTATCATTTACTGTTTTTCATGAGACAGACATCCCTCTTTTTTATGTACCACATGTTATGACAGTGATATCCAATTATGTAAAAGGTTAACACTTGCTATTCTGTTGTTATATGTAGTACAAGTCAAAGTTGTCATAGCCAGTAATGCCAGAGCAAGATTTCAGCAGTAAGCAGCAATGGAATTATATTTGAGTTGCTATTGCAGGTCTGCCTATGTTAAAAAAATTTTGTTGTATATATCTATATAGCAGGAACACTTAGTGTAGGTTGTTATTCTCTCAAGATTTTCAGAACTTTTCAAGTTAATGAAGTTAAGTGCTTTTGACAGAGTTTGTTTATATAAGCAAATGATGTTGCACATGCACACAAATTGTTTTGTCAGTATATTCAATGCTCCAGCTTCAATAATGTTGACAATCACAACAGTCTTTCTGTTGAAATGTCAGTGGCCATTATGCTATTCTATGTAATAAAGACAATGCAATGCATTACATTTATGTATTTTGTAATCATATGCTTCAAGAATGTTCGGTGCAAATATTGTATATGCTTGAGTAGTACTCCTGCTTCATATTTGGGATGCCCTGAGTTCAGATCTCAGCCTAGAAAACACCTATCCTAAGTCAGGCCTTTTTGGTTTTACTCAATTTCTTCAGACAGATGTAAGACAAGTGCTCAATGTAACTGCTAGTGCTTCCTTTCAAATTTTTACAGTTCATTGTTCACTTATAATTAGGGACCAGATTTTAATGCAAATGCATATTTTTTTCTTGCACCCAAAAAGTATGCTCATTTGGATATATGTATGAATTACTTCATTTCTTAAATTTTAGGTATGGTTTGGTGGTGCAAATAAATGCATATTTTGCCTGTTTTATGAATATGCATAATATTTTCAAAGGTCTCTATTTATGTTGAATATTTTCTTTTTGAAAGTTTATTATTATATATTTTTTAGTTTTATGTTCAAATTTTCAATCATCGTGTGTATACAGAAGGAAAGAGACCACTGGGAAGACCAAGGCGTAAGTGGGTGGACAATATTAAAATGGATCTTAGAGAGATAAGATGTAATGGTATGGATTGGATTGATCTGGCTCAGGATAGGGACCAGTGGAGGGCTCTTGTGAACATGGTAATGAACCTTCAGGTTCTATCAAATGCTGAAATTCTTGAGTAGCTGCAGATTTGGCTTCTCCTCATGAAGGGCTCAGCTCCATAAGTAAGTAAGTAAGTAAGTAAGAGTGATTTGAAACCACAAATAGCTCCACAGTTTCTGAATCTTATATCAATTCCATGAATTTACTATGGCTGAACGGCATTCAGTATGAGCGCATATTGCCCTTTCTGACTGATGCCACAAGTTATATGATCAAGGCTGGTACTGCTCTTTTAAAGTTGTATTTCCAAATATGACACATTTGACTTGCCTTGCCCATGGGTTGCACTGTGTTGCAAAAACAATTCTTACAAATTTTGTGCTTGTTGAAGAGTTGGTGTCTTCTGTGAAGAAGGTATTTGTTAAAGCACCATATAGGAAAGAAGTCTTTAAAGCAGTAGTACCAAATATTCCAGAACCAATTTTATTGCGCTGGTGCACGTGGCTGTGTGCAGTGAGTTATTATACTGAACATTCAGAAACAATTAGGAATGTTGTGGATACATTTGATCCCAAAAGTGCAGCATCAATTCAAATTGCCCAAGATGTGCTAAAATGCAGAACTAGAAACTAATCTTTCCTATATATATCTGTCACTTCTCTCATCTTCCATCTGCCATTTCCTCACTGGATACAAGCAGTAGCAATACTACTTTGTATCAATCGTTAAATGTATTCAGAACCACTGCTTCCGAATTTAATTCAGTTTCTGGAAGAGATGGTGAAGTAGTAAATGAAAAGTACATAGCATTCTTTCAAAAAACCAGGATACAAACAAATTTGTGAAACTGAAGAAAAAATTTAGGCAGTAGACATACTGAACTGCCAAGTAAATAATCACTAACAGTCGAGCAAATAGTGGCTTTTGTACATGCACCTTTAAGTTCCTGTGAGGTGGAAAGAAGTTTTTCCTGCTGTAAGGGTATCTTATGAGACAGTAGGAGGCGACTAAATGTGGGAAACCTAAAACATTTAGTAATTGTGAACTGCAACAGAAGAGAAGTTGAAAACTTAGAGAGCTAAATGTGAGTTCTGCTGGTTTTCTTTAACTTGTAATGAAAAAATATTGGCTTTTTTGCATGATTTATATTTAAATATAGCTTTTCATTGCAAGTGAATCATTCAGTGATTACATAAAATTAACTCAAATGTTGATTTGTTGGTCTTAAAATAATGTAAAATCAATTTTAATATTTGGTATGAACTTTTTATTGCATATTTTGGAAGTTTTTCATGCATAAATGCATGCATATTTAAGGGATTATTAGGGCATAAAAATGTGGTCTATACTTATCCTATCATTCTGTGTAATATAGTTAAAGTTACTTACAGACTCTGTCGTTAATAGAACAAAACTAAATACATAAGAATCCCCTTATTAAAATGAAATATGCTCTTATTTTCTAAAGCATTGAACTTATACTGCAGGTGAGGTATGTTGCTTTATATAATCTGAAATGGCATGTAGTCTGGTTGGTGTTGTGGATGCAAGTAAACATAAGACCTTAAATACGTAGGTTGTACCGAAAGTCATGAGCAACTTTTTTTTTGCATGCAACCTGGGAACAGCAGACGAAAGAGAATATAGTGGTAGGTGGAACCAGCTGTTGTGTTAACCTTGAGTGTCTTGTGACATCAACAGCTTGCATCACGTGACCAGTATCACTCCTAACAAAATGGCCAACAACGATATGTCGTTTCGGCAGTGTGCTGTCATCGAATTTCTTGTGAAAGAGGAAATCCCTGCTGCAGAAATTCACCAGAGACTTCAGCGTGGTTGTGGAAGTGTGCGCATGGGCGTGAGCAGTGTTCGAAGATGGGTGAAACATTTTAAAGATGGGAACACCAGCATCGAAGATGAGCCTCAGAGCGGTCTTCCTCGAACAGCCTCAACTGAACGCAACAAGGAAAGAGTGGATGAGATCATTCAAGATGACAGGCGTGTGACTATGGACACAATAGCCTGAAAACTTGGAATAGGGCACAGTGCAGTACAGGAGATGATTGAAAGCTTGGGCTATAGGAAAGTTTGTGCTTGTTGGGTCCCGCGGTTATTGACCAAAGACCACATTGGAAGCAATTGCAAAGATGGGGGTGGGAAGTTCTTCCACACCCCTCCTATAGCCTTGATCTGGCACCCTCTGACTACCATCTTTTCGGATTTGTGAAGGATCAGCTGCGTGGACAACGTTTTGAGACGAGGGAGGCAATTCAGAAAGCAGTGCGTCAGTGTCTTCGGATGGCTGGAACAGAATTTTACAGAAGGGGAATTTTCAAACTCCCAGAACGCTGGGAGAAATATGTACAAAGAAGTGGTGATTATGTGGAAAAATAAAGAAAGATCTGTATATTGAGGTGGTGTTTTTGGTTTGGCAATAATAAAGCATGTTACTTTACAAAAAATTGTTGCTCATGACTTTCAGTATGACCCTCGTATTAGCTTTAATTTCCTCCATTTATGACTGTTTGTAATTTCAACTGCAATTTTTTTAAATAAAAGATTTTTACTTGTGAGACCCAGATAATGCACTGTGTTCCAACATCAGTTTGAGACCATAGCAGAGCGCAACTGCTGGACACCCCAGGAGCGAGTCATGTACCTGATAGCTGCCCTGCAGGGCTCGACCTCCAACATACTATATGCAGTCCCAAACGGAGTGACATCTGAGGAAATTCTTGAGGCCCCAAGGGAATGCAAATGGGACCAGCACCTGGCTGCTGTGTATTGCACTTGGCTGAAAATGAGGATCCGGTGCATTGGAGAATTCCTACAAGTATTTACCACCACCGTGCCTACCCTGCACTGTCTGAGGACCATGTGAGAAGGGAGGCAGGCAAAGCATTTGCTAATGAGGTAGAAGACCTAATAAAAAACTCAGCTGTTACTGGGAGGAGAGAAAACAGTGAACCAGGCTCTCAGGCAGGCCATTTAGCAGACACCAGTGAAGACACAGCAGACAAAGAAGACCTAGTGCATGCTGTAGTGAAATGTAGAGTGTGTGGTAGCACTATGGTTAATTGTACCTATGATATGTAAGTGTTTAACAAATCCAATTACCAGTCTGAACCCTGTGTGTAGTAACACTCAAGCATATGACAATCAGAATATACACTTTCATTCATTTTTGCATAAATATGTGTAATGAAATGTCTAATGTTACAGCAATAAATAGCTAAGTTGCCTTCCAAATTTTGCCAGTCACGAGGAAGTAGTTTGTGAATGCTGGTTTTTGCTGTTTAGCAGTGGAAAATATTTGAATAAACTGTATTCTTAGTTACAGTTGTGATGCAAGAAAGTGGTGATAATATTGCACAGAGCATGTGAATGTTTTGCTTAAGGAATAAATTAAGAGAGTTTCAGTGTCTGTGTTATAATTTAATCTTCCAATTTTGTTTCAGTACACGCTGTTCTGTCTGCTTCACCTGCTGATCTGAATTGCTTTTTGGAAGAGATGATAGCTGTGTTAGATACTAGCTCTCATATACCACAGTCAAGCCCTGGTGATGAGCAACCATCATATGCACTTCATTTGTCGGGATGTGGAACAGTTTCAGCAGAAGGCTTGAATGTAGACACACGAATGATGTGTGCCAAAACTGTGTTCACTCTGATAGACTTCCTGTGGCGTTTTATGCGAGAGTGGATTTCTGCCTATTACTTATCTTCTACACAAAAAGATGATCCTGTTTATAATGCTGTTAAAGGTGTGTCATGTTTGAGAGGCTTATTGACCAGGATAGTAAGATTTTGATTATCGGACATTCTGTTTCAGTTTTTTTGGAGGAACCTGCTGCCTCTATATTCAAGGTAGAAGGTTGTCCTTCTAGCTACCAGACTACATAGCTTCACATCCCATCATACTGTAATCTCAGCACCCATTGCAGTGCTAACCTGAAATTTCACTTTAAATTGTCATCCTGTCTAGTTCAGTCTCCAAATTGTGCTTCCAGAATGTTGTATGTATGGCTATTCTTGTACGTGTACTGTTCCTTCAAGTTGTATGGTGTAGTTTTCATTTATACTCAGTAAGATATTTATTTCAGGTTGCGTTTCAGTCGTCATGTACATGTTGAGATGTCATGTGAACAGTGAAGTGTACAGTATATGCATTTTGAAATGTAGCCTATCTTCCTTTTAAGTTTGGATTCTCCCCGTTGAAGACTCATGAGGAGAGCTGTGTAGATTGTTGAGATTACACCTGATAATACAAGGTCTACCTAAAAGAATTGCTGGGATTTCAAGCAACTGTAACTTGGGAATGAAAACATATGAGGATATTGGTGGCAATACTTTATTCAGCAGTTGAAACAGTTCATTTACACACTAGTGCGGTTAGTTGCAAAACACTTCACAGTAAGTGCCATTCATAGCTCTGTGTGCATTCTTGCAATTGGTCATCTTCCTGTCCATTGACCTGGGAAACTCATGGCCACACAGTCACTGACAGTATGAACAAAATGGACACTTGCACTGTCCAGTTGGAGGATAAGATTCTTGTTGAACTGCAGCATGCCTAGCATTGAATTGCATGTAATGATGTCCTCATCAGGGAAAAAGTGGGTCGATACTCTTTCATGTGTCAGCATGCACCACGTGTTCGCTTTAGGAGTATCCCATTCACATTCTAAATGTTCTCTGGGAGGCTGACTACTCCAAATGATGCTGCTAAGCTGATAGACTCATCCAGAGGTATGAAATTTTGTTTTATCAGTGCTGGCAATATGACTGAAATTATCATGTTCCAAAATTTACATGCATGTGTGGGTCGCAGACTGTGATCTTAGCTATTTATCATGTGTTGTAAGTTTCTGGACTACCTGTAATTTGTTTGGTTTTAGATATAGGCTTTTCTGAAGGATTATGTGGACTCTCATTTGGAGCATGTGCAACTCTGCGTTTGCTTGGGAGGTCTGCCTGTCCAGACCCCATGTTGAAGCCTGCCATCATGATCCTCATTTTCATCAGATTTCCAATGCTGCCGATAGAGTGCCTTTTTCCCATGGTCTCAGTCTCATTAATTTTTCATACCATCTCCTAATGCTTTTGTCATCAGATGATCCCACACCATACTCATTTACATTAAACTCAGATAATGGATTCACATTTTTCCTAACACAACAAATTCTGTTCATTCTGCTGTATGATAGTGTACTGATCATGCATAACATACAGTCAGAGCTGCTGTCCATTAACTACAGTTGGGGTGCACACAGCTTATGTCAATGAAACTGAGTTTAAAATTACAGTATAGGTACAAACCCATGTTAGGTGGTCCCTTATCACCATGGCAAGGTGTGTCCCCAGGTTGTGGATGGAGGAGATGCCTTCCAAGTATGGAGGGAAGCTCTGAATATATTGAATAAGAAGTCATGTACAGCTGACAAGGGGTGGTCCTCCAGATTGGCGTTGGGCATGTGGCTAACAACTCCTCACCATAAAAAATAAGCTTGTTATGAAAATGCTCATGAAGCCTTGGACCTGGGTGGTTTCTTTGGATAAACAACCTAAGGGAAAGAAAATGGATACAAGATGTGGTACTTGGATTGTTAGAAGTATGTATAAGGCAGGTTCACTTAAGGCAGTGGCAGAAGAAATCTCAAAATATAAGTTAGATTTAGTGGGAGTAGAGGAGGTCAGATTGTCTCCACTTTGACGTAGTGGAGGGGCTTGCGTGGTCAGATGACCCTAAGAGCTATGTTAGCGGTAACATAACTACTGGTAGGGCCACCCATGCCGAACAGGTCAAAAGGGATGACCCAGACTAAAAGGGATACCCTGGTCCTGCAGGTTGGGGGTTGGGCGGGAGGCTGACGACCTCTCACCATAAAAAAATATAAATGTCTTGAAACCTGGAATCAAGCCTCGGAAACCTCAACAGAATGGAAGACAACAATTGTCAAAGAATATGGACTACTCTCTAGGTACATGGAATGTAAAAACCCTCAATAAACCAGGTGCCATGAAATCGGTACTAGAACAGATAGATAAGTACAATATGAAAATCACAGCTATACAGGAAATTAGATGGCTGGGTAAAGGAATCATGGACTTAAAGAAACATACTATATGTTACAGTGGTAAAGCAGAAGGCAATAAGGAATTTGGTGTAGCCTTTGTAATAGAACAAGAATTTAAAAGCACTTTAAACCAAAAAGTGAAAGAATGTGCACTTTGAGAATTAGAACGAAATTTTTCAGTGTGACATTGATGAACATGCATGCATCTACAGAAGAAAAAGAAGAGGAGGTCAAAGACTATTTCTCTCAACAAATGGAAGATACATATGATTCAATACCAAGTAATGACATAAAGGTTATCTTAGGGGATCTTAATGCCAAAATAGGTAAAGAGAAGGAATTTTTTTTTCTGTGGTGCTACAGCTCCAATTTGGGCCTAGGCCTACCTCCATGAAACTCTCCGTTTCACTTCGGTTTACTAGATCTTACACATTCGGTAGGACTCCTTGGGCGAGTGATCAGCTCGTCGCAAGGCCTCTATCTGTAGACAAACACAGAAAAACGCACACAAACATCCATGCCCTGAGTGGGATTCGAACCCACGATCCCGGCTTCCGAGCGAGCGAAGATAGTGCATGTCTCAGACCGCTCAGCTACCGTGACCGGCCAAAGAGAAGGAATACAGAGGAGTAATTGAGACAGAAAGTTTACATGATACAACCAACCATAATGGAATAAAATTAATAGATTTTGCAGAAAGTAAGAACTTGATCATCAGCTCTACATACTTCCCACACAAAAATATACATAAAAGAACATGGGCAGCACTGGATGGGGTAACCTTGAATCAAATAGATCATGTCCTCATAGAGAAGTGATTTGCGATGAATATCATGGACGTAAGAACATTAAGAGGATCCCAACTGTGATAGTTATTATTACTTAGTACAGGTTAAATATAGATGTAAAATAAGTTGTCAAAGATCTAAGCAGTATGGAAAATGTAAGAAATTGAATATTGACAAGATTATGGAGAGTGATAAGAGAGAAGCATTTCAAAACAAAATTAAAGAAATTAATGACAATAGAGCAAGTAAAGAAGTGATATGGGTAGATTTTAAAACCGCAATAATTACAGAAGCCGAGAGGACTCTGGGATATCAAGAGAAACAGGATAATAGAGAATGGTTCGACGAGGAATGTAGGGAGAGTATAAACCTCAAGAATAAGAAATATATGGAAAGACCAACAAGAGCAAGAAATGAGGCATATAATGAAGGAAGAAGGAAAGCAGGCAAGATTTGCAGGAAAAAGAAACAAGCCTTTCTAAATGAGCAATTAGTGCAAATGGAAGAAGACTTAAAAATAACAAAACAAAAAATGTCTTTGGTTGAATCAAATATATGAAAGAAGGTTTCAAACCCAGAACGGAATTTATCCAAGACAAAATGGGCTTCTAATAAATAATTCAACAGAGATTATGAATACATGGAAAGAATATTTTGAACAATTATTAAATCAAAATCAGACTATGGAAGATAATGAGGACAATGAAGAAGAAAATACAGATGATGGAGAAGGGGAAGAGGAAGAGATAATAGAGCCTCCAACAAAGGAAGAGGTGGAAGTAGCATTAAAGGAACAAAAACTAAATAAAGCACCAGAAGGAGATAA